CAGCCATGCCTAATCAGACTTTGGATCAGTTCCTTGTTGTGCTGGAGCAGGGGCGGTACCTGAGGGCACCAAAGGGCACTGCACTCTTGGTGCTAGGCAGGGTGGCCCGAACCGCATGCTTGAGTAAGATCCTGTGGGTGGCAATCCAGAGAGAGGAGAGGGGGGAGTGAATTGGCTGGCAGAACTGGGAATTGGTGGGGGAAGCCTTCTGGGAAAAGGCTTTTGTTGGGGTGGAAAACTATGGGATTAGAGTAGTTCAGTGTGTTGGGGTTCAGACTCCATCTCTGCCTCCTACTCAGTGTTTAGGACAGGTTGCTTGTCCTTTGTGGAATAGCCATATCTCCTATGACAGCCATTTCGTAGTGGTGCTAAGGACAGTTTCTCAAATGGGCAAATGTGTCCGTGGGCCTTCAAAGTTGTCCACCTCTGTGCCAGAACACACTGGAATTGTGTGGCCAGAAATATCCCTTTTCTAGTCACCAGGGTAACTTTTAGAACACTTATTTCAATGACACTTCACCACAGTGGATGGCGCTCCACTGCTTTATAGAGGGGGCTGCTTTATACAGAGGGGGGCTGGTTTATACAGAGCAGAAACACTGGCTCACCTTGCTCCGTATCATCCACAGAGATTGGCAACTTCTCTTCAGTCTGTTTAGGCCCTGCCTGCAGATGTTTGGTATTGAATCGGGGACCTCTGAGCTGTAGCCCATCTCTTTTTAACTGGGCAGGCCTCCTGATGCTGCTGAACCACAACTTCTGTCAGTATAGATTGAAGGGAGCTGCACATCAACAACTTTACCAAACTGAAAGCCTCAAGTCTTCTTTTTCTCTCGGTGCAAGGCCTCATCCAGGAACTGAGCCCAAGTCCTCCTGTACCAGGGCAAAAATTTGGGCAGACAACCTTTTTGGCCCCATGGGCACATTTGATAATTTGAGGAACTTTCCAGAACACTATTACGAACGCTGCAGATGAAATCATTTGGTTGGTAGCTGCCTGCCATCTTAGAACACTAGATGAGACTAGAAGGTCTCTGAGCCTCATGCATGGCATGGGAGCATTTCTGGGAAAAGAAGATGAGAGCAGTTGGTTGCTTCCACTTTGCTTGGAAGCCATCCCAGCTGCCAGTACAAAACATTACTTTAAAAATTCAAATGGAAGGTATAGAACACTTTAACAAAGACCAAGACAGGTAACCTGAGGGTGCACTGTTGGCCATATGGGTGCCATGTTGCCTACTCGTTCCTTAGATCAAGAAGGCAGTCGCAAAGTTGTTCAATGGTGGGAAAACTGGTAGATCCATGGATGCTGCTGCTCTTCTTCCCATAACACTTATATTTCCACCTCCTCCTAAACTGCTCAACGTTAAACTTGATAAACTGGCTCCATCTCTCCCTACCCAGCCTCTTCCTTGAAGCAAAGGCAGGCACTTTTCTTCCAGGTTAGACCTGAGAAATACTCACCATTAGCCTGAAGTTTTAGCCTTCTAGCCAGGTAGCTGCTGCTCGCCTTGCAATTTACAGGAACAGCACTCTTCTGAGTCAGCTTTCCAATTAACTTCACTGAGAATCAGTTTAAGGCATTCCCTTTTTTTTACGTGTTTAGGTTTTGTACGAATGTCATATGTCCTCCTTGTATGAGGTGGTGATGCAGCTCTTACACAGTAAGAGGGCAGAAGGCAGGTGGAGTTCTTAAGAAGCTGGAGGGCACCGTTTGGGGAAGGTTGCAATGTGAGTGCTCAGCGCACATGTGCATGCTACAACATCGAATATACAATAGGCTCAGTGTTTCTGCGCATTTTCTAGTAGTAGCATCCTGCTTTTGAAGTTGGCCATTCACTAACAGACTTATCAGACTATAATCAGTGCAGAGTATTATCTCCAGCTTCTACTGTTTGCTTAAAAAACTGGTTTGAGGGTGGGGGAAGAGAAATTGGTTTTGCAAACTTCTGGCCACTCACTATGGAGCAAAGATTTCAAGGGAGGTATTGCTGGGCATTGCAGCTACATTTCAGCAGGTGCATTGCAAGAGGATTTCAGCATCCAGTAGCCCCAGGTCAGCAATTTGTAATGCATGCTATACAAGTAAGAGAAGTGCATGCTGGTCTCAAGCCAGAGAATTAAACACATTCTTTCCCAAGCTAGGCATGCACTTGTCTAGTTTTCTTCTCTCTGGTGCCAGAACCTCCTACTAGGTCAGGCCCTTAAGCCATCCTTCCAGTTCCAGTGCAAGAGAAGATCCCAAGTTGAATAGTGTTGGCTTCATGGGATCTTGACTGAGGCAAGAGCTGTGGTATGAAAGAACACATGGTTTGAATGGAGAAGGTCCCGGATGTTATCTCTGGCATCTCCGGGCAGAACAGAAGAAATTCCCATCTGTAAACTTGGAGAGCTGCTGCCAGTCAGTACCAACAATATTTGGCTAGATGGATCAAGGGTCTGACTAAGGATTGGGTAGCTTCCTTTGTTCCAGTGTGCAGCCATCTGCTGCCGCAATGTTTATCTTTCCAGTGCTTGGGCAGGAGCAGAAAGCAGTGATCTTTATATAAATATTGGCCAAAGACTTCATTCCTTATTATTTTCCATTCTCACATAATAACTGTTACATAAAACACTGGCCCCTGTAAATATGAAGCACTTAGCCAAAGCTGAATGTAAAGGTAGCGATCATTTACAGTTTCAGATTCTTTCATCCACTGTGGCTCTTCAGATGTAATAGCAAGTATCTTTGGCTTAGGGTGGGTGCTCTGTTTGGTTAGAAGGCACGTACTGTCCTAGTACAGTAATGTCTTTAATTTGAGATACCAAAGGAGGAGGAGGAAATGCCCTTATCTTTAATCTTAAAACTGGCTGTGAGCACAGAAGATATACTTGTGTAGTCCTTGAATGCAGGCACCATTTTGCCTCTTGCATCAGGGTGTTGACAGAAGCATGTGTATCTTGCACAAAAATCCTTCTCCCTTGACTGGTGGGGCTGTTGGCCAAAGGGCGGGTGGGGGACAAGTACCGTCGTGCTGTGCTAGTCATTATTGCTTTGGTGTATCTGCCTTGCCTGTTATCCACCTGCGTGCACACACTTGTGGTTAAGGGGCTCTGGACAGGTGGGGAAAATGCTTTCATCTCTGGTGTGTTGCAAACCTCTTCTTCCTCCTCTATGCATTGCACAATGATATGTTAGGAAGCCAAGTGGGCGTCATTGGCTCAGCATGTGTGACTTCACTTCCGTCTCGAACGAAAATAAAATTTTGGAAGTTTGTAATGCTGGTATGGTGTGTTGATGAGAGTGCTGGATTGGGAGATCTGGGTTCAAATTCCTACTTGGCCATGAAGCTTGCTGGGTGACTTTGGGCCAGTCACTCACTCTCAGCCTAACCTACCTCACAGGGTTGTTGTGAGGATAAAACAGAGCTACTTAAGCCACCTTGGGTTCCTCAGAAGAGCAGGGAAAGGCAATGTGCCAGTGGAGAGCTGATAATATTGTGTTGACTCTGAACAGAGATAATAAATTTTGGTACACCGCTCTATATCTGTCAGTTTGAAACTGAGTCTATACAAACACCTCCTCACATCCTGATTAAATGCACCAACTGTATGTAAACTTGATTAAGATGCTTGTTCTCGAAGAATAAATCTGAGCTCTTGCAACAGATGTACAATGTCACAAGGACTGGGTTTAAGACTATCAAGAGAAGTGAGGGGCTGTCACTCACCCTTTGACCTGTCTTGTGCCAGGTTTTATCTGTGTGTCTGTGCAGATAAAGTTTGGACTGAGTTACTCTTGGGGCTGAACAGTAAATGAACAGGCATATGCATACGTCATATTATTCAATTGTGTCCTGTTGCTGGTTTACTTGGATCAACATGTGAATGCTTCTCCCATGAGAGGGTCACAGGCTGGCAGCAAAGTAGAGGGCCTTCTTGGTTTTGGCCCCATTTATGGAATGTTTTCCCTAGTGAGGTCTGCCTGGAGACAACATTGCCTCCTTTTAACTGCCAGGTGAAAACTTTCTTCCACTTCCAGGCATTTGACGACATACAATGTGGTTTTGAATGTTTATTATCAAGGCCTGGTATTTATTGTTAGTTGCTTTTATTTGTTTCCAAATATTTTATGGTACAAGTATTTGACTTGTCATGCTTTATCTTAGGGTTTTAATATTTATGAAGAGCCTAGAGAGCTTTGGCCAGTGGGTTGCATATGAATGTTGGACTGCTAGTTTTGTTTTTTATGGTGGCTATCAGTGAACGAGACTTGACTCTGGAGTGGCCTGACCTTGAACCTGCCCACTCTCCTTAGCTCCTGTATAATGATACCCCGTTCTTCTAAGGATCTCAAGATAGTGTGTGTGATCCCCATTTTATCTTCACAAAAAATCCTGTAAGGTTTTCAAGCTGAGAGAAAATGGTCTGCCAGTCACTCAGTGAGCGTCATGGCTATTGGGGATTTCAGCCTCAAGCCCCTTGGTCCTAGTGCAGCCCTCTGAGCTGCTATACCACAGTGGCCCATCCTTCCTGCTGTATCATTGAGATGCCGTATGTATGCATAGAGCTTGCTTTGTTTCTTCCTCAGAAGTATTCACAGGTTCATCTCCACCTTATGAATGCTTCATTGGTACGAGTGACCTTTATGTAGTACTCAGTCCTCTGGGGTTGATGGGCATTGTTGATGACACTGTGCTGCCAGAAAGGTGGAGCATCTTTTGGTTGCTTAAATTTAGATTTAGTTTAATTTAATTTTCTGCCCCACAGTGGCATTCAGAGTGGTTAATAATGTACAGACATGGAGCAGAATCTTAATTAAAGCAGTGCAAGAAGCACAACAATAAACAATCAGCAGCTGGCCAGTGAACATTCTCCCTTCCTTCAACGACAGCTATTTTTTTATGCCAAAGCCCTGCCTGAGTAGAGTCATTCTGCATAGATTTAATGCTAGCCCAGAATAGCCACTTCTCCCAGTAGCAGAGTTATTACCATCTTGTATTATCATTTCTCTGTTTTAGGCACAGTATTATGGGGAGATTGGCATTGGGACACCACCACAGAAATTTACTGTGGTCTTCGACACGGGATCATCCAACCTCTGGGTGCCCTCCATCCACTGTCATTTGCTGGATATTGCTTGCTGTAAGTAGACTGCTTGCCGTTTTTGTCAACTTTCGTGCTTGCCTGACTTTATGTTGCGCTATCCCAAGTTACCTCTTCTTCCACAATCACACTCTGTGTGACTAGGGAGATGCAGAACCTCTGGCACAATCACATTCTGTGTGACCAGGGAGATGCAGAACCTCTCCTACAAGCACCAGTCCGTTTTGCAAGATCTCAGGAGGCATTGGTTGAGACAAATTTCCTACAGAGATGCTGCTTCCATAGATCCTTTTTGTGCTCCATTGAGTCTTTCCTGACTCTTCAAATTGATGGAGCACCTCCTGCTTGTGATAAGCTCCTTACACATATTGAAACTGCACTGGAAATCATTGTGAACTTGTCTTTTGAATTGGCAGTGCACACAGAAACTTTAATGGATGAAATAAATATGGATTTCACAACACACTAAATTTAGGCTGAATATACTTCTGAATGATTAAGATGATGATGAAATGTAGGGCAGAAAAAAGTCAATCTTCCATATTTGTGGCTTTAGGAACATGGTGTGTGTGTGTGTATTTAAGCAATAAGATCCAGTATTCCATTTTTGCATGTTTTCAAGCATGATGGGTCAGTGTCTTCGTTGCCTTAGACTGAAGACAAATAATGGTTTTGTCTGAGGATTGAAGGTGGTTTGAAAGAGGAAATTCTATTCATGGTATGTACAGCCACCTGGTTTCTCAGTCTTTATGCTTCAAAACATTTTTTGACGAGAGGTGAGTAAGCAAAACCAAAAAACTGGACACCATGGGAAGCTACGTGAGCTCAGTGGGTATTGTCTAGTTTTTCAGCCCTTGCACAAAGAACCAGCCAGGTATACCTGTTTCTCAAAATACTCTTTCCAAATCCAATTTAACAGCCAAATTGGATCTCTCCACTTAATTCCCCATATGTTAGAAGAGCTTTAAGAAAGCACTTGTGTATTAATGCGTCTCGGTAAAGACCTGTGTGCTGGTAGACCTTTTGCTGTACTCAAAGTCACATTGGTTCAAAAGGAGTGACACATGCTGCTAGCCAGCTGGTGGCACCTTGAATGGGCGGAGTTACTTCTGCCATTGGCATTTCAGATCTATGCTAAACCTGATCATAGAAAGACTGTATGGACCACTTTCTTTCAGAAAGCCAGTGTAGCATTCTGCATGGCCAGAGTTTTAACTGGAACTGCTTACTCAGCCACAGTTGATATTATTGTGAGCACATGTGCACAAGCAGCATGACACAGAGTGCGATTTCCAGAGCGAGCTTGGATTCCTATGTTCATCTAGAGACAGACATAGTTATTTGCTCCACTGATTTTTCCATCTGCTTAGAATATTTGGAACAACTATGATGAATAGGTTATTGGGTCCCCCATTGCTTCCTAATTTAAATCCAGAGTTTTCTTTCATCTCCAAACATAAATGACAAATAAATCTAATAAATAAAAAGTATAAGTTGGCTTTTGTTTTTTGGCTTGGTTTTGTTAACAAAAATAAATCTTGTGCTTGGGGTATGTCACACCTCAACTCCCTTTTCTGTTTCGGGTGAAGATCATATGGTCCCACAGATGCTCTTGGACAGCAACATCTATCTGTCCTAGCCAGCGTAGCCAATACTACGAGATCATGGGAATTTCAGCCCAGCAGCACATATTCTCTGTCCAAGGTGAATTTGCTATATCTGTCTGCTGGAATTCAGGAATCTAATTTAATAAATAGTGTTCAACTATTTAAAGGCCATAAACTAGGCTCCTGTTCCAATTAAATATTGGGATGCAGGGAGTATGACTCAGCTCATAGTTTCGATTTTGCCCCTAAAACCCAGAATTGCATGTCTCATCAAATGCTTATCTGGTGTTCGGAGTGAGCAAAAATATGTGTATGAATTGTGTCCCCTTGTTCTGTCTCTGCAGTGCTGCACCACAAATATGATTCTTCCAAATCCAGCACATATGTAAAAAATGGTACAGACTTTGCCATCCATTATGGAACTGGGAGCCTGTCAGGATACCTCAGCCAGGATACTGTAACGGTTAGTATATTGGCAGCTTTCTACTTCTTCAAGCTACTGAAGCTGTGCCTCTTCAGCAAACCCCCAGCCCCTTCTTCAAATTCAGTTCACTTCAGTGCAGTCCTGAGTATATGCAGAAGTATTTGAAAGACCACTTGAATGTTACAGTAGCAGGTAATAGGTGGCCATTTATCTCCTTACTTGAAAAGGGGAGCACATACTTAAAGGTCTTAGTTTCGTAAGGGTGAAGGCTTATGTATGTTCAGACTGAAAAGAGTCCTGCAATTCCCTGTGCCCCAGACAGTCCTGAAGGACTCTGATACTTAAGTGGTGTTTCCATGACCAGAGAACACCTTGGAAACATGCTATGCACGGCTGACTTGAATAGCTCTTCCTCCAATTGTTCCTTTTCTTTTCTTTTTGGCAACTATTTTGCCATTCCCTTGTGTCAGGAGATGAGTGTTCACTTCATCACAAACTTTGCTTTTCTGTCTTTTTCCCTCTCTGCTGCTACAGAGATCTCATATTTCTGTGGAATGCACTCTCTCTGCCCTCTTTTATCTGTCTGTGATTTTTATTTTTTTATACAGATAACATTGATTGTTTTTTCCAGAAAGGGCAGTATCAGTGTTTTAAATGGACAACATACCTTTGAAAATCCAGTGAGAGCCAATGTAGCATAGCAAGTAGAGTGTTGGCGCCAATCACTGACTTTTAGTCTACCCTACCCCACAAGGTTGTTGTGAGGATAAACATAGAGAGGGGCATTGTTTATAGCAGACTGGGCTCCTTGCAGAAAAAAGTGGGATATAAATGTAATAAATAAAATGAGGGAGGGAAAATGGAGAAATTTACCATAAAAATACGAGAATCTCTAGGGATACATGGGAAAAAGCTTTTTAGGCTGATGGAGTTTACCCCCACAAACCAGAGATTTCAAATGGGAAGTAGGTTTTTTTGGATGACACTAAGTCTTACAGACCTTGAAACCCCATGGTTTCATTTCACCTTTCTTTGAAAAAGGTGTAGGGGGAACTGCTACTACTTCACATGAAGTAGAACAAGATACAACCTAAAACATTTCTCCAGTGGCCATGCTGGCTGGGGAATGAGGGGAGTTGTAGTCCCAAACATTTGAAGGTTGCCACGTTATTTAAGGCCAATACAATACTCTCTCATAAAGTAGGAAAAATGCAATACAAAATCTTGTCCTGTGGCCCCTAATATGAAAACACTTTCTCACAACATACCATGGATGTTCCAGAAGCTGTTCTTGCTGTTCCTGAAACAACATCTGAGCCTGCCATCGTCACTGGCCATGATTAAGTTGTGAATGCATGGCAACCGCCTTCAAAACTATGCTTTTGGAAACACCTGAGTTTCTTCAAAGCTTATCTGGGATTTCTTGCTAAGATCAGAAAAGACAACAACTTCAATTAAAAGCTGATCAAACTCTTCAGCGTGCCGCTAGAAGGCAATATTAGGTGTGTTGTGTATCACACATTGTTCAAGAATTGTGTGCACACCCAGGAACACGACCTGGAATCCACTGCAGTGGATGTCTATGTGGAAATGGCTTCCTGACAGTAGAAAAATTAAAACCACTTCCCCTACAGTGACCTCTTTCTTTCTAGCAACTCACACAATGTTAAAATCCATTAACATTATTGTGTCTTTCAGTTGTTTTGGACTCTAACTCACACCATCCCTACCCAGCATGGCCAATGATCGGAGTCCAAAACATCTGGATGACACCATGTGGCAGAAGATAGTTCTAAATAGATCTTGACTGTGCTTGAAGTCCGAACGCACTTAATGGATTGAGGGATGGACCACTCCACACACATCATACCCTTCCTTCACAGCTGTGCACCCCAGTCCTGCATGCTGTGAGCTTTTCCATTGAGTGTTTGCAAGTGGGAGGCTGGCTTGGGTGTCATACGAATTCTGAAAACACTTAAGGCTGCTTTTGGGCTAGCTACGCCTCAGTAAATCACTACCTTGGATTAGTGGGTGGTAGGTGTTGAGCAGGTTTCCTGTGCCTGCGTATTTATTGGTAGTAGCACCTGTAATCATCACCTGGCAGAAACTGGCACAGTTCAGTGCTCTGTCATTTGGGCAAGAAATTCTGGGCAACTCTCCCCTGCCCAAGCCTGTTCTCATTTTGTATAACTGCCCCATATCATGCTATGGGAGTCTGTACAAATGTGACTTGGCAGCCTCCTTTTGAAAATGATTTTGGGTCAAGAGGGTGAAATCTCAGAAGTTTTTAAAGAAAAGCCAAGAGAGGTTCCATGACTGCTGAGTACAGGAAAGAGATTTCTGTGCACTGTGCCTTCCCCTGCTAGCTTTGCTAGCTTCTGTTCCTTGTTCTACTCCATCTGTTTTTCCATCCAAGAATGCCTCTTCTTGCTTGACCTTTACTGTACCACATGTGAGCTTTCCAAAATGCACAAATATGCTTTCATCCACATTCAGTACATTTGTACAGCTGACTGCAGAACGCAGTTCTCTGGGCAAATATTTGCTTCCTTGGGAGAAGCAGAAAGGATTCCCCCCGCCCCCCATCCCCAAACTAGAGCGTGGCTGTTACGACCTTGAGTGAAGCTGAAGACATTTATTTGAACTCATTTCTTGAAGGAAGTGGCTAAACTAGGACTACATGGCAGTTCTAACACAATGTTGGGCCCCAAACACTGATGCACGGTTTCTAAATTATCTTTGGCTGATTATGTACTTCTGGACCATCCTGTCTTACTCTAAGGAAAGGGAAGTGGTTGGGATGTGTTAACTGGTGTGTTTATGTAAGCATAGCTTGTTACTGCTGCTTCTATATGTTGCATATGATGCATCTGTTGCTTAGATGTTTTGCTGCCTTCTCTCTAAACAGAGCAGTAAATTCCAAATAATGACAATTAAAAGACTGGAAAGACAAACATGATTAATGAATCACACAGAATCTTAGAATGCAGTTCTGGGCTTTAGTCATAATTTTGAGCAGAGAAAAAGCAACTTAGACAGATTCTCTGTCCATCAAGTAAGGGTACCATAGTGGCTCCAGAAACGTGCACCTTTCTGACTAAGGAAATTTTAACAACTCCATTTCTGCTGTGATTGTGAAGAGGTTTTAAACCTTTCCTTTTCAGCAAGTGTTCTGTGCTCTGTATCGTAGCCTTCCCAAAAATATTCCCACCAGATGTACTGGACCACCAGGTTGAGAAAGACTGCTGTAGCATGTCTGCCTGTGTGTTGCTCTACTATTATGCAGGTGGGAAATGCCTGGGGACTTGGGGGCCACATTGCACCCGCAACCCACTTGGGGCTTTCTGGCATTGCTGCTGAATTTGTTGCAGCAGCCACAAAAGACTCACTCTCTCTGTTCCTCCCCCTCCCTCCCCCCTGCTTACAAGCAAGGTACACACTCCCTGTGCACCAGGTTCGCTTGCTACATTGCTGTGATTTTTGTCGCCAATGAAGCAGTACATTCAGCAGAGATACATGGTGGGGACCATCCAGCAGTTTGCCATCCCTGTTTTACGAGTCCAAAAAAGAAACGAACATGGGGGGTGCCTGATGGAAGTGATCTGCATTCTTGGAATGCCACTACAGCAGCTCCTGCTCCTCGACAGGATCTTGGTGCTCATGGCATGGACAAACCAAAGCAATATGTCTCTCTGATGTTACAGAGGCATATTAAGGCACCTTTGTCTAAAGAACTTCATCAAATGTTGTCTGAACTCTTCTGACAGTGGCTAATGTGTGCTTGGATCTTCCCTGCCCTTTTTTCTTCCACTCAGATTGGTGACCTGTCCGTCAAGGATCAGTTGTTCGGTGAAGCTGTCAGGCAACCTGGCATCACGTTCATTGCTGCCAAGTTTGATGGCATCCTTGGCATGGCCTTTCCCAAGATCTCTGTGGATAAAGTGATGCCTTTCTTTGATAATCTGATGCAACAACAACTATTAGATAGGAACATATTTTCCTTTTACCTAAACAGGTGAGGCTGGCTCTGATGGAATGAACCTGACTGTTCAATTGTGTGCCTGTGTGAAACTTGTCTCTAAGCACCTTGGGTATGTGAGCTATATAAAATGGGAGGGGCACAGAATGGGGGGTGAGATGCAAGCTTTTAAAAGAGTATAGCCACTTGCGTAAATCCATATCTAGCAGCAGCTACATCTTTTTTCCATTTTCACTTTAAAGTATCTGCAGACGACCTCTAGAATGACCCCCCCCCCACTATCTACACAAGAGTCTTATCCTGTATGTTCTGCAGATTAAAAATGGAAAAAAGTCATAACTAATAATACAAATTTAATGTAATGCCTTTTTGGGCCCAGGTTGTTGGTGCTGAGTACAGAGAGGGACACAGAGGAAAGCAGTTAGAGAAGGAGGCGATAGCTAACAAGACCAAAGAAGGTGGCAGCTAGGAATGGGTGAACAAATAATTTTCATGCCTGTTAAAGATCTTCTTTTTCTGCCCTAAAGATTGTTCTCATCCTTCTCACTTCCAAATGTGAGCATGTTTATTGTTTTTCCCTTACCAACATGTTCCTGTTTGAAAATGCACACTTTTCCAAGTAACCACTCTAAATAGTTGAGTGCCACCAGAAAGCTTGGCCACTCCATTGCTCATGCTTAATTCCAGGGCATTTATGAACAAGGTTTCATAAAAGCATCGGTCCCAATACAGATACCTGTAGGATCCCAGTGTGTGCATCCCAGTACTGAGTGCAATTTATTCCTACTCCCTGCTTTCTATTCTTTAACCAGTTACTGGTCTAGAAGAAGACCTCTCCATATTAACTTTCACAACTGCTGAGTTTGTTCAGAAGTCCTTGGTAAACAACGTTGACAAAAGTTCTTTAGAAGTTTAAGTAAATAATGTCTACCAGATCACCCCATCCATATGTTTACTGATACTCTCAAAGAACCTCTTAAAAGATTAATACAACAAGGCTTAACTTTGTGGAAGCCATACTGATTCTTTTTCAGCAGGGCTTGTCCTTTTAAATGCTTATGAATTCTATTTTTAGTAATGCTTTCATAGAATTTACCCAGAAGAGACATTAAGCTAACTGGCCTGTAATTTCCTAATCCCCCTGGATCCCATTTTAAAAACTGGTGTTCCATTGGCCATTCTCCAGTCTTCTAATACATAGGTATGTTAAGGACATGTTACATTTTTGTAAGGAAATCAGCAATTTCATATTTGGGTTCTTTAAAAAACTCTAGGATGAATAATAACTGATTCCAGTAATATATTGACTTTCGGTTTGTCAGTGTTTGTTAATCTTTTGTCACCACTACCTGCCTTAGTTCCTCAGAAGTTTTTCCTGAATAAGTTTGGGAACAGGTGTCTGTTCTGTCTTCTCTACTATGAAGAAAGATTAAAATAATTCATTTGGCTTCCCTGCAATCTCCTTATGCTCCTTTAGTACTTCTTTAACTCCATTGTCCAACTGCTTCCCTACCTGGCTCTGATATATTTAAATATTATTGTTGGCCTTTATGTTGTTAATGAGATGCTCTTCCAAATGCTTATTTGCATCTCTGATCATTGGCCTCCATTTCCTTTGTGCAAATTCATACTCTCTGTTGTTTTCCTTACTTGGGCAAGACTTCCACTTTCTGAAGGAAACCTTTTCTTCTCTAATAGCTTCTTTGACACTGGATAGCCCCCACACCCCCTGGTTTTCTACCTTCATCACAGGTGGTTTTTATTATTTCATTTGTTCATTCTCTAGAAAAGGTGGGGGATTTATTTTTAGTTAACAATTTGCAGTTTATAGCTACTGACTATGAGAAGGGAGAAGCTGCTGAACATACTCATTTGGCTGACTCGCTTTATTACTGAGGCACCTCACACTCAGACAGTGGGTTCCCTTACAAGTCTGCCTCCTCATATAGCTCTAGGTGGGTTGGCCAAACTGCTGCTGCAACCAGTTAGATTGGAGAACCATGGCTGAAAAGCAGGGAAGGCTGTGGCTGGGCTCTTGGTCAGCCTTAGCTTCTAGTGTGTGGGCATCTCTCCCCTGGAGTGGAGCTGTTCTTTTCACTGGAGGGAGCAAAAGTCAATGGGTTGCTGGAGGGGACAACTGACAAAAGGTAAGAGATTTGTGAAGGGATGTGCTTTGGAAGGGCTGAGTTGCTCTGTGTGCGTGGGCGCATGCTTAAAACTAGGAGATAATATGAACTCTCAGACTTGGGATGGCTCTATTTCTGCGGTTTAGTTTTTGGGTTTCCCTACAAGACCTAACAACTTGAGCCTGCATTAAGCCCAAACTAAAGCCAGTATTTATATGCACGTTTGTCCATTAACTAGGCCTGCACAGTGGCTCTTGTCAGGGCAGAGCTACCTATTGCTGTTATTTTCCCTTTCTAAGCTTGGGTTTAGTTAAGTATGCCCTCTCTTTTAGACTAAAGCTGCAAGAATTATAAATGCAGCCCAATGTTGCATTAAGGAGAAACAAGAACAGCAAAGGATATATTTATTTATTTAAAACTTTTATATGCTATCCTCTGTGTGTGGCATCTCAGGACGGCTTACAAACAAATATGATGCATGTTTACTTGGAAATAAGTCCAGCTGACTTTAGTTGGAGCTTATTTACTACTAAGGTTGTTTAGTATTGCACAGTTCTTGAAATTCAGCCTCAAGGAAACATATTACTTGTCTTGTATTGTATGAACTTGTACCATGTTGCACTTGTTTTGTAATCTTTTTGTCTTGATTTCTGCCTTTTCCTCTTCATTGCTGCAATGATTTGAACATGTTCATCTGAGGTTATGGCTCTCTCTCCCTCCTTCCTTATTTGCAGTGACACTTTGTGCTTTTTTCTAGGGATCCAAAATCAACACCAGGAGGCGAATTGCTTCTAGGAGGGGTAGACCCGAAGTATTATAGTGGAGACTTCAACTGGGTGAATCTCACTCGTAAAGCTTACTGGCAGATCCACATGGATCAGTGAGTTGATGTTTTCCTTTGGTTTCAAAGATACACGCATCCTGTAGCTGATTGGCATCTAGATATGGACTAGTGACAACAAAATGTTGTAGTATATTCCCAGCCTTTCACAGTTTATTGTTTATTTGGATGCTGTCTTTCCCCATCCAAAGGTGCTAACTACTTTGTATAACATGATGGAGAAATAGCACCATATAGCATGCCGTAAGCGATGCATATAGTCACACTTTCAACACACAAATGCAAATTCTTTTGCAAATTAACATTGGTGTGCTCTGAACAGGGCCAGAGAAAGACCTTTGCAGTTCCCTCCTGTTAGTCACATGGCAAATGCTTTTTTAAGTTGCTGTGTATCTTAATGTGAGGCAAGAAGAGTGTTTTATTTAGAAGAAACAAAAAAAAATACCCTAAACACTATTAAAACAGTAGCACTGAGCTGAAGTCAGCTTCTGGACTGTCAACCAAACTTAGCTTCAGGGACAGACCTATTGGGCAAACTCTTGACTCCTGCACTGAAGTGTTTGTATGTGTGTACTTGATCTCGCTGACTTCAAGTTCTTATCTGTGGAATGCCATTACAGTTTATTTTGTGGGTCTCTTGTTCCAAAACAAATCAGGTAACTTCTTTGTTAACCTTTTGTTTCTGGACTTGCTTCTCCCAGATGTAATGATCCCTCTTCTTTGTCCTATACAAACTGCACATCTTCTAGATCTGAGAATCCCGCCCCACCAGTGCTTTCTTCTCCTGAGGGAAGCCATTATTTTCTGCTTTTCTGATGATCTCCTCACACTTTGTGATCCCTCAGCTCTTTGATACTATCCAGAAGTTGGACGAAGTGCTACTTGCAGCATTTGAGGAGTAGAGGAGGGGTTTTTGTTTTGGTTTAAAAGTGGAGCAGTTGAAGCACTGCCCACGTTCCATGCAGGCTAAAGATAATGGTAGTCCTAGTCCAGCCACACCTGGAAGGTGTCAGGATGGAGGTTCATAGAGCTTTGTAGGTGTTCCCAGCAAGCCAAAGGCTAAGGACTCAGCTGAAGTCAACATGTTTCTCTGTAAAACCAGAAGGAGGTTTTCCAAATCCCTGTGCATTATAATGCCTGGGCATTGTTTCAGTGGCCATTCAAATAAGGGGCATGGGTCATAGGAGAGGTCCTGGAGCAGAGTACCTGCTTTGCTCACGGAAGCTCCCTGCTCACAAAACCTTCCTGCCTGAAACTCTAGAGCGCCCCTGCCAGTTACTCTCAGCAATGCTGAACTAGATGGGCAAAGGGTCTGATTCAGAATGAGGCAGCTTCTAGGTTCCTGCCATGAAACCAAACATTTAAACATGCTGCATAGAGAAGGTGATGCTCCCAGTTTCACCAAGAGTAATTCTCTCTGCCATATTCATGGCAGACGTGTAGCATGCTTCCTCCCAGGCCTGTTCTTTTTGCATGGCCAGCTAAAACTTCCTTCTTTTGTCCATTTAAAAACAAACACTGTCTCTGCCCAGAATGCCATTGCTAAGGCTAATAAATCTGTCTTTCTAGCAAGACCATCTTTCTTTTCTTCAACTGTACAAATGTGGCTAGATTTGACTGGGAATTGTCTTCTTACAGGGTTCAAATTGGGAATGGTGAGACCGTGTGCAAAGATGGCTGTGAAGCGATTGTGGACACAGGAACCTCTCTCATTACGGGGCCCACAGAGGAGATTAAGAAGCTGCAGAAAGCCATTGGAGCAAAGCCAATAATTAAAGGGCAGGTAAATGAGGCAGAGGAATGCAGGAGGATGGTAGGGAGGGGGCTGTATAAAAAGGGCCTTTTTTTCTGCAGGTCTAACAATAGAGACGGGTTTTAGCTATTTAAATGTATAAATATGGTTTAAATATGATTATAATTTTAATGTAGTCTGTGACATTCTGTTCTCTTAATTTATATTTATTTTATTGTGTTTATTTTCATCACCTAGAGAGCTTTGGCTTTTGGGTAGTATAGAAAACAAACACACACCTCTCCCAGCATGCTCCAGCCAGCATAGCATAGCTAGCTGTGGCATGCTGGGAGTTGTAAGATGTTCTTCTGTCTAAATTCATATTAGATTGCACCTTTCAAAGGCTGATAAGCAGTTTAATTACTAGTTCAAACTGGTTGTATGTAGAATTACTTACGGGGCAATGCTGCTTCAGAGCGAGCTTTTCTCCAAATTCTTTTAGTGAAGAACCTCAGAAGGGATTGCATGCAGGCGTGGGGAAAGAGATTTAGTGATCTCGTCTTAGCAGGCAGGGAGGGGAAGCGTACATCTCCCCATTCTTGCACATGCAAGTGGGGCAGTGAGCATTATCGCTATGGGAACAAAGAAAGGATTCCCACTCCTGCATGTGAGCAGCACTGCATGTCAGCCCTGCAGGCTGCAAAAGTTGCAGCATATTTTGCTTTTAGACTTCCTCATTATCCTAGTATAAAGGGGTAGTTTAAATATTGTGTAAAAGCACACTGTAACAGTTCCTCCACATTAATACTCCCACAAGAGAGGATGCATACAGCAAGTTGGCTGTAAACAACTGTCCCTGTGCCTACAGCAGCTGCAGGACAGGAAAAACCTTAGCAGGTGCAGTTCCGTGCATCACGATGCTCAAGTTAATGAGGCCAAACCTGCCAAACATTTCCATGCCTTGTAGCAATCGAAAGCATGGATGGAAAGTCCTTTCTGCAGACAGAAAGTTCCTTTCAGATGTGCTGTATGATCAAACGCATGAAAACCTCTTCACCAACTTGTCAGCCAGCCCGAGTGGGAATAGTACAGAGTAAGCAAAATTTGCAAGACTCAAAATAAAATGTTAACCCAGTATGCAGTAGCAGCACAGAAAGGCAAAATCCTTGCAAGAATCTTGTTGTAGATTCTAAAGAGAGAGACTGACAATTAAATTGCTACTACCAAAACTGTTTTCTGTGCCTCCTGCTCCCCAGTGTCATCTGGGTTTGTTGGACTACCACTCCCATCATCCCAGTGGGTACAGCTAAGTATGCTGGGCTGCAACCACACACCATTTTTCTTTTCTAAGGATGTCTCTGGACTTCGTGTTAAAAACAGTCTAGCACTTCACTTTGAAACCTCCTTGTTTAATTTGAAAATAGTGTAAAATAAAAATAATGAAAGCAGGGGAATTCTCTTGGGTGCTAGGAGAGGTGCCTGTGGACACCATGAGTGAGATGTCAGTTTTAGCATTGCCTCAGTAATTTTAGGTTTCTCCAGTCTAGACCCTAAGATCTACTTTATATAAGATACAGAGCACCACAGGCAAACTTCCTGATGGTGTCAGCAGTCTGTGTATGCTTAAATCTGCTTTGAACAGGCCCAGAAGAAGGATGATTATTGCGTGTAATGGCATGTACCCATGATCTCTGGTCCAGGCAGGTGCATCACTGGCACACTGACATTACAGGCAGTGCTGGTTGAAAGTGCATTTTAAGTGTGAGAAGGTTAGGACCAGACACTGTATGCATTAAGCATCTTATCTGTGGCCTGATTCCTGTATAAAATTGAGTATAAAAAAGCTCCGCTCAGGAAATTTCATAGAAAGGGAAGTCTGCTGAGTGAAGCTTCTGCTGTGGCTTGAGCACTTCGGAAAATGCTGTACATGATTAATCTCCCTTCTGCAGAGTTCTTAAAAGGTAAACTGTAGGGCAGTTCTGCTTAAGATATAGATCTACAGTGGGTAGAGTGAGCAGAGATGTCAGGCTTTAGCTGGGGAGTAGAGGGAGGACAGACAACAAATTGTGGTACTTGGCAATATAAGATGAAGTCAAAACCGTGCTTTCAATTTTTATAGAGCTTTACATTACTTGCAGTCCTTACAAGCACCTGGCGAGGAGGGTCAGGATTGTCCCTGGCTTGGGAATGTGTGTAGGATAATTCCTGCAGATGGGGGAAAGGCAAAAAATGACCCATTTTTTTTTAATGCTTGAAACCAAAAATTGAAGCACTATCCTTGTAGTAAAACTTCAATAGGATTAAGAACAGCTGGTTGCCTTTTTAACGATGTTCCAAAACCTATCATTTGAGGGACACACTCCTCCGTTAGGGGGAGTCCTTTGTAACTCAACCCCCCTCCATATATATAAGCCATAGGAGGCTGTCAATGGGTGCAGAGGAAGTCAGTAGGGACAGCTTAACCCTTTACTTCTAGGCTATTGTTTTGCTCAAAATCTCTCCCTCCCAAACTGCTTTTCTCCCCTGAAAAAGAAGATAACCAGGAATGCACCTTTCCCCTGCAGAGGCAAGGCAGCTTGAGGTACACTTTTTAAGAAGAACAAATTAAGCAGTCCTTTGCCCTCTTCCCTGGGCAATGAGTCACTTTTTTAAAAAATTCTTTACTGTGAAATGAGGAAGAGGACCCATAGATGACATGAAAAATGGGAGGGCCAGTCCTGCAGGGAATGAGGCTAAGAGTCACTGTGTTGTCTGAGGCCACCCAACAAGGTCAGAGGCAAGTTTGTGGCTTACAGCTTAGTGCTAAGACAACAGTTGAAGGCAACCTGTGATAGTCATAAAAACACAAAGGAAATGTTAAATGGGAACTTTTATTAATTTGTTACTTTTATATACCATCTTTCCTCCTCCTCTTCCATTTTGGCAGGCCCAAAGTCACCATAACTGCCAGTTTCTTAAAAGCAAATACAATTGTTGGGGTGGGAGTGAAACGTGGATGCTGTGGAATTAATTATTGTGAGAAGCTTCACACCTCCACTGTTGACTGACATGTGGCGAGCACAACTTTGGTTTTAGCTGTCCAAGTGCATTTGGACCATATAACAGATGGTGGGATGCCTTATTTGGCTGCTGAGAGATCCATTTGCCTGCATAGATGGACAAATCAGGCAGGACCTTCTGCTGCCAACCCATCTGTGGAACAATCCCAAGACCTTTGCAGGAAGAATGTGAAGAGGGAGTCACTCAAGTTCTTTTATGGCCATCAGGCAGAGAGGAATAAAGGCCACAAAGGGCCTGCTGCCCCTGACAAGGTGAAGAGAAGAGTGGAGTGGGGGATAAAGCGAAAAAAGGAAAACAGAGGTGACATTTGAGTAAATGCAGCAAAGTCCAAGGTATAGACCGGGGTAGAGGAGGTGTGTCAGCAGAGCTTGAGCAGAAACTGCAGCTTCCTGCTTGCAGGGTCTTCAAAGCTAATTGCTCATGACAAAAGTGAACTGTGCAGCTTAATCCTGGCTTACGTATACTAGGACCTCTAACTGTAGTAAAGGGCACTGACCAATGCTTGTTCGTATACCTCAGATATTGCATCCTTCTGGTCCTTCCCCACTGGCCATGTTGGTTTGGGATGGTGGAAGCTATAGTCCAACCCATTTGGAGGGCCCTGAGTTAGGCTGTCACTTGCCAACTTCTGTGATTCCCTTGTATCACTCACTCTTAATGGGAAGATATTTGATGTCTATGACATGTGCTTATACTTCCTCTTTACCACCATCTTTCTGTTTGCAGTATATACTTGCTTGTGAGAAGCTCTCTTCCCTTCCAGATGTGAGCCTTGTCCTAGGAGGGAAATCTTTTGTCCTCACTGCAGATCAATATGCCTTAAAAGTAAGTCCACAGTTGTTTTTGCAATCTTCCTTCTCCTGATGTTCATCGATCTATGCTAAGCAATATACTTTATGTCTCTAGGATGCTTACTCTCAATTTTGTGCAGGCTATAAGTAACAACAGATTCTTATAATAGATTCATACAGTGATCTTTTCCAGTTTAAGGAAATAACCAGGGCCAGGGTGGACACACTCTGGGCATCTTTATACACTGGAGTTAATCGAAAACAAATTGATTTGAAGGAATCCTAGTTTTTACATTAAAAAAAAATGGAAATTAGCAATTTTAACATGAGGTGTTAATTTAGTTCTTCCTGAGAAATATGTCAAAAGCACTGAGATCTGTAAGAAGAAGCTATAGCAGAACATTCAGTTCCTGGAATTTTGGGGGATCAAAAATGGGTTTGAATGTTCTGTAAGTTGTATTTGCACTTTCATTGCATTATGACTTGGCTGCTGCTTTTCTATTATAGATAGGATATTTTTAATTGTTCACTTAAAATGTAAACTATAGTTGTTCTGTGATCTAAGATTGTTAGTAGTTCCTCACAAAGGGATGTTGTTGGGGATGGGTGCAAATCTGTTGATTCCTCTTTTAAGGTCTCATTTTCTCTCTGTTGTAGGTTTCTGTTCAAGGAGAAACTCTTTGCCTTAGTGGGTTTTCGGGCTTGGATGTCCCACCGCCTGGTGGCCCTCTCTGGATCCTGGGTGATGTCTTCATAGGCCCCTATTACACTGTATTTGATCGGGATAACGATTCAGTTGGTTTTGCAAAGTGCAGTGGCAAAGTGTAAAAGTAACAGGCCACCAGCCTCCCACAATCTCCTACAAAATACACTCACAAACATACTGGACTTTTGTATTGTGACTCACTGGTATTAAGAACAAAATCAGGAAAGTAAGGAAGAAAGAATACCTTCTGGTTTTATAAATGTGAAAGAGCATAGACCTTATTTTTTAATGGAAAAAAAAATCTTTCAACACTCACTTGCCTCTCTCAAATAAGAGAGGTCACAGAGAGGTTCTAGTAAAATGGTCACCTCTAAGGATTACCACTGTTGTATGAGCTCTTCAAACATCAGGCTACCTGAAACACGATCTCTTTGTATATCTCTGAGCATCAGTACTATAAACAGCTTACATAGATGAATACAAGTTTCTGTTTCACAATTCTCTACCCACAAAAGGTAACCATTCATAAATGTTTCTGGATTCATTTTCCTTATTTCCCCCCTTTAAAGAAAACAGTAGAATAAAAAACAATATGGACAATTAAATATTTTTTCCAGTTGATCATGGGGAAGTGCTAAATAGTTATAAGGATAGTTCAAACCCCAGTATGGTAAAAATAAGAAAATGTGTTGACTGTATTTCTTCTAGGGTGTGGGATGTGGTAAGAAAGGTCTGATTCGCAAATTTTACAAGCCAAGCTGGTTCTCCAGTTGGGGTGGGTAGGCTTCAGGTAAATAGAGAACCGTTGGGAAGTTGTAGTCATGGAGAGGATACTTCCTTAGCTCTTGCCTGGGTTCTCAATGGCCACCTTTCATACTTTGGTCTGAGCAATCCCATGCAAGTGATTTTTGTTTCACAGTATCTTTCTGTAAACTTTATCTTTAGTTTCCCAGACCTTTTGGACTTCCCAGCTTCCTTTGGAAGCATGAGGAAAATGACCATGATGTGGCTTTTCAAATCCATTTAAATTATGAAATATTTCAACCATTCTTTTTCTTTTTTTGTGAGACCCTTTAGCTCTCGATGGTTTTGAAGAAACATCTAAGCATCTTGATTGCTCCTGAATAAAATATCATCCTGTTTTTCCCTTAAGTCCTAACTTCTAAAAACACCCAGTACTGCCACCTGTTGTGAAAAAAGAAAAATGTTGTAGATAATTCAAAATTAAGCTTCTCAGAGCAGTGCGAGCTTAATCTAGAAACCTATTTGTGTGAACCGCTCTGCACAGGCAAAGGAACTATCTCTCTACTGGGCTCTTATTTTGATCTGACCTGGCACAGTATACAGTTCTGTTCTACAAGGCCACTAATTTAAATGGCTTTAAAAAGGGATTGGACTAATTCATGGGGCACAAGGCTACTAATGGCTATTGGTCCCGTTGGCTGTATGCTACTTCTAATGCCAGAGGCACTATGCCTGTGCCACCCAGTTGCTGGGCAAAATGGGTGGGCAGGTGCTGATGCACTCATGGCTTGTTTCCAGGTTTCCAAGGGCAAGATGTTGGCTATTGTGAGAACAAAATGCTGGACTGAAGGCCCTTTGGTCAGATCAAGTATAGCTTTTACTATATTCCGAAATGCATGAAGCGGCTGTTCAGAGCAGGGTGGGAAGGAGGACAGGTGGCTACTTGTGGTTGGAAGTTAAATGAATTGGAAAGTTATTAATATTAGCTTGACAGCTGGGGAGATTTCCAGCACCTTTTAGATTATCTGAAATGTTCCATGATACTTGGATCCAATCCCAAAATTGTGAGACAGCATGGGCAATGGAGAGCAAAACTTGAGGTTAGATTAACAAAGAACTCTTTGATGAAAGTCAGCAGCACTTCACTGAAGAGGCTCTCATAAATGATATGAATATCTGGCACATGGGTAAAGGAATACAGTAGGAAAGATTGTGAATGCAAGGGGGCAAAGGACATCAGGAATCTGAGCATATCTTTGTGAATATGCTATGGATCCTAGAGATTTTTCCTCCCTGCTGGGCTGAAGATTTCAGACACTGATAAGGTATCTGGTGAAGGTGTGGGATAGGGTCCCTATCGGGATCTTTTCCATTCTGTTAACAGCTGGTTGGGTTTTTAAACCAGGCTCTGCTATTCAAATCCTCGAGTGTTCATAAACACGTGGAATGTAGTGGTATGTCTTAGAGATCTAGATAAACTATAGCATTTTGAATTGCCCTCTGTAATAAAATAAGCATCTCTAAACTCTTGAGTGCCTGATTCTAATAGTCTTCAGTCCTGAATTAGTAACCTAAATCACCCAATAGTTTCTTACTGTAAAATATCAAATTACACAGCCTTCATTTCAAGCTTATCAAGTGCCCAAGGATCTTTGAAACATAAGCTGAGTAGAAAGTCTTTTAACACTTCCTGCAGGAGCCCAGGGTGGGTTTGAACATGATCTTTGCCTTGAAGAGATTTTACCTTCTTAAATACCATAGAATAAAGTGAATGCCATAAAATATTTGCTCAATAGTATCAAATGTATTGATTGGCTGGTTATGCTAAATGTTGCAGTCTTGTAGTGGCTACTATTGCACAGTCTGATACCCCCTCTTGAAAGATGTATGGCACAGTCCGAAGAGTAAAGGAGGAGAGGAAGTCCACAGGAAACCTTTGGAAATTGTATCTTAATTGGATCTGATAGTTTGGAATGCTAATTGGGCTGCTGGATCTGTAGCATGCAGCCATTCCCTTGCTCTGCTAGTCTTTTCTGAACATGTGAATTACTGTTGAACCCTCTCCTGTTGTGAAGATGCATCCTAGCTGTTCACTCTCCTCAATTTGTCATAGAAAAAAAATAAATATTTTCCCCCCAACATCTTGTGCCTTTCTTTGAGTGATTTGTGAGACATTATTGAGGGGCCAGGTTGTGTAATGTAAGTACATTGCCTGAACCAGCTGAAAAGATGATCCAGAATGGAGAAGGAAGCAGATCTTAGAGTCCTGAACTACTGGTGGCTTACGACACAATCCTAAGCATTTTCATTCAAATGATTCCATGGGGCTTCCATCCATATTAGTGTGCCTGGGTCTGAGTAATCACTGGGAGTGGGGAAGCAAACTTTCCCTACTGGCAGACTTCCTATTTGCAAGCTTAGCTTATCCCAAGCTGTCTAGTCCAGGACTGTGGAGCCTCAGGCTCAGAAGGCTGTTGTCCTTTTCCCCAAGCAGCTGTGCTTTAGTGGCTTGCAGGCTTTTCTACAATTTTTCCACCAATCCTGAAGATAGTAAAGGTTACCCTAAATCTTAGTTTGCAAAGACTGGTGTTCTGGAGCCTAAGGGCAAGAAAGGGTGGGTGGTGGGGGTGAGCTTATGACAGGTATGCTATTCCTGTGTGCACTTTCTTAGCCTGCATCTACCCTGGGCATTTCTACCAATATTTATTATTAAACTTATATTCCATGACAAATAGTGGAAAGGGACTCTCTTGGCAGATTCAGAACTCAAAAAAAAAAAAAGTTCCTTCTTCACAGAGATTGGAAAAATACCTTTTGTTAAAAGGAACATAACCCCTGCACACATTACTTTAGAAGGTCTATTTTCCTGTAATTGCGTTTGTGTATGATGCCGTTCTAACATGGTGGAAACTGCATTGTATTCGTTACTTGTATGTACCCTACCTGGAGTAAATACGTTTTGTATAAATATCTCTACAGAGCTCTGTGATTCATGGAAAGGTCTCTTGTATAGCTTCACTCTTGGTGGCAGGCTACAGAAATAAATGTATTCAGCAAATACCATTAAATCATAGCTTGCAAAAATACACAAGATACAAAACTACCAATTTAGTTTAGCAGCTAAACAGGGGCTATGTAAATCTTAACATACATAGAGATTAACTGAGAGATAATAGGTGGACCCTCTGGAACAGATTTGTGAGGGTCTGCATGAGGGAGGAAAGTGGAAAGATGCAGAAAGTCACACCATGATGGTGAATGTCCATTTCCACAAAGAATTCTAACCTGTTACTTTTGCAGGTCCAGCTGCATCTATCAGAAAATGGGCTGGTGGAAGTAGCTGAATTGTACAAAATATTTTTCAGTATTATAAAGATACTGCAAGATACTAAATTTGAAAGATACAAGTTTACTGATACTGGTAAACAGATAAGTGCTTTTCCCTTGTAATTAAATAGGAGTGAAGGGAAGATGCGACGGAGAAACAACTAATATCAATAATTATTCAAAGCCTGAGGGTGCAATCCATTGAAGCTGCCTATAGCACACTGGACTTGGAGAATTACAGGCATCCAAAGCGGGGTGAAAGGAGACCCATAATCCTCTTTTACTTCTGCACTCCTCATGCGCTGCAAAGCAGCAAGATGGCCAGTTTTGGCTGTCTAACTGCAGTACTTTGGAATGGGAAGGAAAGAAGCTAACTGGATATGTTATGTTTGTGACACGGTCTCCTCCCCTCCCCACCAAATGGAATGGTCCCTCAACCCCTTCACCAAGGTCATTCTTGCAACCTCAGGGAAGCTGCCAGTGCAGTTCTTTCTGCAGTGGCAGTGAGGAGAGGAGGATCCAATCACAGATTCCCAACTCTGAAGTCGGAGCTGTTTTCTGATTCTGGATCTGGGAATCCAAACTAGACACTGTCTACTGGGCTATAGGATAGGTCTACCCATCTTTCCCCTGCCGTTGCTTAAGAGTACATTACTCATTAAAATATTTGTTTTCTTCTTATTGAAATCAATTTTATTTTTTCCCTAGGATTGTTAGCTACCTTGAGCACACTTTTTTTGGTGGAAAGATGGGATCCAAATCAATTAGATAAATTTTGCAAATAAATGACACAAATACAGTCCATATGCAAATGTTACAGTGGAACTGGAGAATAAAATTGCTCAATATAACCGCTTCACTCGTACATTTCACTATACCACAAAGACATCCTATTGTTTGGGAAATTATTTTTACTTGTAATACCCGTAAGTGTTTTCTGTTTCTCCTGCTGCCTTGATTTATTTTTTATCAGCTTCCTTTGGGATGAGAAATACAGTGTTGTTTAGAAGCCTGTATACAGAAAAGAGGGATGAGGAGACAAATATTCACAAGAGTTTTAAAAGCTACATAAATGCACCTTTTGATGCAGAGCAGAGCTTTTCAAAATGGTAGAGGGGAGGTGAACTGTATTTGGTTCTCTTTCCTGATCAGAACGTTGGTATCATATTATTACATTACATTTACATCCTGCCCTTTTTCGTCTTGGGAGCTTCTCTAGCGGCTGCTCTCTTACAAATGCTTTAAAGACAATAGAATTCTATGTTTTGGAGTGAGCAGACTCCAGTCTTCAGGACCCCCTTGTTTTTTTTTACTAGAATTCCAAGATATACTAAGCAGAGACTGATTTGAAAACACATATTTAGAATTTTAAATACCCCAAGGAGTACCAGAATTGGAGTTCACTCCTGGTTACTCAAAATTTAATTCTGGGCAATGGAGAACAGATACGCTTTGAACTCTTGAAACATGCCACACACATGCAAAGTATTATTCTCTATTTACAGCCAGGTTGGTATGTCATGCAGCAAGGGAGCAATAGAATGAAATGCAGAATGATCACCTTGGGAATATTGTGTTCAGTTCTGGCCACCTTACCTGAAAAGGGGCATTATTCAGTTGGGGAAAGTACAGAGAAAGGTAGCAAAAATGATCCAACATGGCTTTTCTTACGTTCCAGTGTGACATTTTTTCATATTCTCCGTATTCCATTTACATGGTTGCTAGGCAAAGCTTTCAGGAGCTCAGTGCGTGGCTGAGATTATGACTTCAGGAGGGGAAGTGAGGTTTGTTAGGTGCTAGGCGATGGTTTTGTATAAGGGGCACTAGCTACTGATTACTCCCAAAAAGGTAGCCAGAGCATCTAGTTCACAGTCACACATTCTTGAGATGGTTCTACTCCATGATTCCAGAGTAAATACAGACACTGTCAACAAGCACACAATTTAAACCAACTGTCAAGGAGAAGATTGCATGTAAAATAGAATATATATGTGAGCATAATTTGACATGCTAGAAGTCTCGATGCTGAAATGGGGAAATTAGAATGCTTCTAGACAAGGTTTTTATTGTGTGATCACACTGTCTCATTTACATAATTTTACAAGGGGTTGAGATGGCTCATTTGTAGTCCTCCCATGTTTTCCTAAGAAGTCTTGCATTTTTTCTTACTAGAAAAAAAATCTTACACTTCTTGTGTTACTGGGAAATTATGGAATACATGCACAATTTCTTTGAATGATAGTGCTAGGTGCTCTCCATCTCCAAGAGTATGATGGAACTGTGCAAACAAATGTAATACTCCGTTCCTAAATATAGTGCATCTCTGGAAAGGTCATATTGGAGGCGAAATATATCAGAAGAAATGGAATCTAAGCAGGTTGCAAATGCTACAGGAAAAATCTTACCTATAAAATCACAACAGCCTGTTGAAGAAAAAGCACTTATGGAGGAATAAACTACTTGACTGAAATCTTGCTAGGGAACATGATATGAAGGAAGAATTCAGGGAAGAACGGAAAGACACGCATATTTTTTACTCTGAAATGGACAGGATAAAAGTAGTCTTAGATCATGAAACAAATACAAAATAGAATGTGTGTTTTGATCAGCATGGATTTAGCAAAAGGAAACCTTTCCTCCTGTTTATATTTACTTTTCCTTTTTATTTATCCATGGCCTGAATGTGCATGAGTTTTCCATACGGCCAATCTTTGAAATATATATTCTCTTTTATACATGGAAGGGTAGAGAGGGGGCCTATTGGATGTTGGCAGGGATGTGCTTGTGACAGAGCGCGAGAGAGCGCGAGAGAGAATGCCTTCCTCTAGCTTGGGGCCTTAACTTTTGAAGGGTTCCTCTCTGAGCTCTGTTCGTGGTTCCCTTTAGCGCTATGAACAATTGCGCCTGCGTGTGTGTATATAGATGTGTGTGTCTTTCTGTGTCTCTGTATATATACATGTTGGAGTTTAAGGGTGCAATTTTACGCATGTTTAAACAGAAAAAGGTCCTACAACTCCCAGCATTCCCGAGCCGACATGGTTGGCTAAGTAATGCCAGGAGTTGCAAGACTTTTACCAGTCTGGACGTACAAATGCTCGCGCCGTTAAGTTCGTAGCTTTGATAATGTTATTCAGAAGTGGCACATATATTTGCGAAATAGAGCAGGTAGGAGTGCATGCATGTGCGTGTGTGCATGTGTATGTGCGCGCCGGTCTGCACAGTCTGCACTCGATATTTATCCAGTTTCTATCTGTTCCCCATGACTGGAGCGCACAGAGCGCTTCTTGCCCCTGGGCGCTCTGCTTCGCGTCAGCGTTGTGCCACCATCGCCACATGAGACTCTCTCCCAGCGCTTCAGTTGAAGGGGATTGGGCGGGAAGGGGTGGCCGAGACTCTTTCAGCGCTGCTGGCCACGCGTCCTGGTGGCAGATGGTGCGAGAATGTGCGCGCCCGCGTGCTTTGGTCTTTCCACGGAGACCCGGACCCGTCCTGCAAGACCTGCACCCCGCAAAGCCGCCTCCCCCCGGGTTGGCCCTCCCGCCTGCTTTCTGCCTCTGAAACCGCGCTTTCACCATTGGCCGTCGAGGGCGCGTGGCCTGGGGATGCCGGCGCCGTGGCAGCAGAGGCGGGCCGCGTTTCTGGCAGGTAGGTCCCAAAAGAGCAATTTAAGCGTGGGGAAGCGTGGGGTGGGGGGGCGATGGGTGTGCCATTCTCCATTCTCCCTCAGGCAGAAGGTCGCCCAGTCTGTGTGCGTGTGTGTGAGCAGCGCGCGGGCGCCTGCTTGAGGCCAGAAGGGCGGCAACGGCGGCACGCACACGCACACACACGAGCGTGCCTCCACGAGGAGAAGTGGAGCTGGCCAGCCTCAAGGCTCTAGTGAGCGCGTGTGCGCGCCCCTTGCTCTAATGAGGATAGGGATGGGGGGAGAGACGCTTGTTTACCTCTCCCCGCTCCTTTCGCCACTTCCCTCCTCTCCTTTCCCACTAACTCCAGTTGCTAAAGAAGAAGAAGAAGAGCCGGAGGCACTGCTGAGCTGGAGATGCAGCAGCAACTCCCTGGCTCCCTCCTTGTAAGTATCCTGCAGAAGAGATGGATGGGGGGCGGGTGGGATGGGATGGGAAGAGGTGGACGGACAAACGTGGAGGTTACAGGCTTTCTGCTTCCCTAATTGCACAAGCTGATGGGATGGGGTGAACGCGAGGGAGAGTCCTTCCCCCGGTGCTCCTCTTCTCCCCCCTCCCGTTTTCCTTCCTCCTCGTCTCCCAGACCCCCCTGCCCGTGGACAGTGCCCAAACTGGGAAAACTGCTGACAGGTGAAAGCGGTGGGGGAGGGAAAGTCAATTGCATCAGGAATCTAGCAAAGATGAAGACTCAGCAAAATCTACATTGAGAGGGAGAGGAAGAGACAGACAAGGCAGGGCTGGTCTGTCGCAGCTGTGCAGGCTGTTCCAGGAAGAGACTTGGTTTAATTTCCCACCCAGCCAGCTCCCAGCAACCCTCTTCGATCCTGGCATGGGACAGAAGAGCTCTGATGAAGAGATGGGCAGAAGGGCTGAGAAGGGCCAGAGGAGGAGGTGGGGAGGGGAGCCTGGGATCCAGTTGGGAATGCTCCTCAATCCCAGCCTGTGCTCCCTCTTCGGAAGTGTTTCTCCCTTTTTAATTCTGCTAATGATAGTAACAACAAGTATGACAACAATATTTTTAAATGCCTGTTAGCACCTATAAAGCTAACGATGAGTGAATGAGTGAGCGAGCTAGCGGAGAGTTGCTGTTGTTATCAGACAATACCGCAAAGGACTTCAGCAGGGGAAAACGGAAGAGGAGAAAGAGCGTGCGCACGAGCGAGCAAGCGTGTGATGGATGTGTCAAGCTCCATGCCTTTCCCAGTGTGTTAATGAACTCTGGGGCTGTTTCTGTGTGGGAGGCAGGGGAGGGGAAGCCAAGCATACTGCGGGAGCTGGGACACCCAGCTGCAGGGAGCCCAGGAACTGTTACACTGCTGCATACATTAATGACTGCTCAGTGTGCCGGAGAATACTGCTTTATGGTACATGTGTGTAAACAATATTTTCTCTCTTCCCTCCTTGCCTGGAAACCCTTCCTTCCTGCTTCTCCTCCTCTGCTGCCCGCTTTTCGCCCCGATATCTTTACTGCCCCTTCCTCTGTCTTCATTCTGTGCTGTCCCTTTCTCGTTCCTGCATCTTTGGACTCTGTATCCCACGTCTTTCTCCTTCCTGATCCTCCCTGCCTTCTTCCTCCCTGTTTTTAGGAGGGGATCATACTTTGCCAGGATATAGTTGTGTAAACTGGGGGCTGCCACCACGGAGAGACCACAGGAACCCCCCTTGGGCCCTCCATGTCCCTTTGACGGGGCCTTTTGGACTCGAAGACCCCCACAGGCACCCCAGCAGGGGTGTTTTGCTTGCATCTCCAAGACACCCCCTGTGCAGCAAGGATCGCCCATCCTGTCTCCCTCCTCTGCTGTTTGCCTCATGGAGAACAAGAGCTGCAAAGGGGATAGCCTGCGGCCACCGGTCCAATGCAAACACTCTGTGGAGAAGAAGACGATGACTAATCCCACCACAGTGATTGAAATCTGCCCAGACACCACCGAAGTGAATGATTACTATCTCTGGTCCATCTTCAACTTTGTATACCTCAATTTCTGCTGTCTGGGTTTCATTGCCTTGGCGTATTCTCTGAAAGTAAGTACTGGTCTCAGACATGTATAGTGAGGGTTTTTGGAGTCAAGCCCACAGCTGGAGTCAGTCTTTGTCCCTACAGCTGGACTAAATGGAGAGATGCTTATTTACCCCAGCTTTGGAATAAGATCTGTTTCTTGTTTCATGTTATCGGGGGGATGTCTTGGGTTTAGGGGGTGAACGTTCTAGAGAGAGTGACATAAATATTTTGGTTTCTGCATTCAGGATCTGGATCCAATGGAAGAGTGAAAAGGAGCACTTGATAGGAGACTTTTGAGGGGTGGGGTAACTTGGGGATCTTCTTATGCCAAGGTATAAAGGATAAACAACATAAGAAACTAGGTGGATAAGGTGAGATTCACCAGCCATTATAGATCTAAATTGACTTTTCCTGTTGCTGGAGATTTGCAATTATCTCTTTTTCGATTTTATGGCTAATAAGGTAGGCAGCTGTGTTTTATAACTGGAAGACAAACAGCCAGGTGCTTGCACGCGTGTGTGTATGTATCTGCCTGTGTGTGTGAGGTGGGGAAGGATGTCAGTACAGGACCTTTGGTGAGTTAGGGAACCTCATATGTCATTGTCATCAATATTCCCACCATTTCAGTATCACTTGTAACATCATTTATGAATGTATTGCATTTATCTTTGCAACAATCCTGTGAGGTATGTACCATTGATCTTCCCTCCCACACCCTTAAAGCTGGTGATCTGAGGCTAAGAGGTTGTGAATTGCTCTACAGTTTTCTAGTGAATAGGGATTTTAACTCATTGCCACAGGACAATGCTGTCTCTCATAATTCATGGAGCATTCTGTGCAGCACTTTCCAAACTTTAATTTGGCTTTTGTAGTTTTCTGGGAAATAAACTTCTTTCCCAGGTTAACAGACAGGAGTGTTATGGCACAGCTAAATTTTAGACAATTTGTCACTCAAATGTAGAAATATGGCTTTGGTTCTCCAAGTACAAGTCTTGTACAGTTCAATGAAATGTGTTGCATCACTGTTGTTTGAGCATCTGAAGTCTGATTGATGTAAAAGCATGAATAATACTGCTGCCTGCAGTGAGGAATTGGGCTGTTTCCTACTAGCTCATTTTCTAGAAAGAGTGATTTTGAATTACATATATATTTTGAAATTCCATAGAGAGTCCTTCATATAAATATTATTAGGGTAAGTAGGAGTCCTTCACAGACCTGTGGCTTTGGGATTTGACCCTTAGTCAGAAAGCTTTTTGTTTCTGGAATGTCAGTAGCTACTGACAGATAGAAATCATTTGATGAAGAGAGCAGCTGCTAACTGGAAGACCTGAGAAACCCTTGGGAGGCATCTTCAAGCATAGATGAATCAGTTGTCAATTTCTAACTCTGCCCTTTGGAGGACCTTTAATCCCCTTGTAACCTCCTCTGCTCACTGCATAGGGCAGTTTCTTCCTTTGGCAAGTAGGAAGGAAGGAAAGAAACAGCTGCTGTTCTGCTGCTGTTCAGATTAGTCAGGGGAGGAGGAGGAAGACTCATGATTCATTCTCCCCTGGGCCTTATAAATCACAAGGTCAGCAGTGGAGACCTTCTAGGAGAGCAAGACCACTGGCTAGAATGGTGGAAGACTGGGGAGCGATGGAATGTGTCACTTGGATAAGGAGGGTAGATCTGGAAAAATTAGAGAGGGAGAAACCAGCAAACAAGCAGGAGAGGATACTCAGAATGTTGAGTTAAAAGGAACCTGCAGCCTGTTCTATAGCCATGAAAGCTCTTTGGCCTGCTTGGGCTCCACAGAAATGAGGATGGGTGGCAAGGATGGGTGCCAACGAGAGAGAGGAGGAGCTGGCTATAGAGCTTCTCAAGCTTGTATAACCTCCTCTAAGGTAATGCTACTCTCCACACACACCAGACCTGCTGTAATTATTCCTTGTAACTGCAGGTTGCTTATGAACCAGCTGGGTTCCACAGTTGCATTGCTGAGTGCAGCCAACAAGCAAATGGTGATCATCTATCAAAAAGGATAGTGACACCCTCCCTTGATTTATTTGCCCTGCTTTTTATTAAAAAATAAAATAGCTAACGAGGAAGGCCCAAGGAGTGCTGTGTAGCCCATCGTGTATCTGGGGTCAAATGTTCTGAGGGATGGGGCATATAATGAATGTGTTTTGGCAGGCAGGGTTTGAACTATTCAGAGGATTTCATCACAGAAATAGATCAATGAATTGCATAGAACTCCAGCGACCGTGAATTCCACAAGAGTGGAATGGGGCTGTTTTCAAGCTTGCTGTGTCCTCAGTCTCTTCAGTAGTACAGTTTGGCCACTGAGTGCCTGGCTTGGACCAAGTGGTGCTTATGTCCCCAGACTCTTTTGGCAGGAGGGTGTCAATGGATGTCTTGCCTCCATGGTTGTGTTCTTCCATCCCCAGACTCAGCATGTATGAATTGCATTGGCTATATCTCGGAGTGCAAGCCTATACATGTCTATTCAAAAGCAAATCCAAATGAGCTCAGTAGGGCTTACTCCCAGGTAAGTGGACGTATGGTTGCAGCCTTAGTCTCCTAAAAAGATACTTTGGGAGGTTGAATATATTTCTGAGCTGCTATGTGCCAGCTGCTATATGGGGTTTGATGTTCTTTGGTAGGTAGCTCAAAAGTTACCATAGCTCACCAGCACCATCATCCTTCAAAACATGGCTTTGCACCCACTTTAAGAGCCATGTCTTCTTCAGAAATGGCAGGAAGGTCATGCTGATCAGAAGCTCCCTTGTTGCATGTTCAGTCCTCAAGCTGCTGTTTTTGTACTGTTTTCCTTCCTCCCTTCCTTCCTCACAAGCTCCTTGCAAAATGGAAGAATGTCAGAACAAACAGGCCTCAGCTGTCCGATGTTAACTCTGTAGGCATATAGGCACAATGCAGAAAGCAGCACACCAGGTGGCTTTCTATGAATGTCAGCTTCCAATTTTAGAAAAATAATATTTCTAGTTCTAACAGTAATAGAAAAAAACCTTTCAGCAGTATGTGGCAGAGCTTTTGTATCTCTGGGGTTTGCAGGGAGAAAAAGAATTTGGACTCATGCTTTCAGTAAGAGCCAAGCTTATGCCTGTTAGGCTTTAAGTTCTCTGTCCCAGTGACTGTTGTAGTTCAACTTTTCTTTTCCTATCAAAACACTGAACATTGTGTTAAATCCCAAATGATATGTAATTGCTTAACTATTGTAAATCTAGGGTACAGGTAGTTTCTTGGGATTTGGCTATGTACCTACTATGCTTAAAACATGGTTTTCCACACTGTATCCTTCCACTGTCCTTGTTGACCGTGGTGCAGAGAGGTAATTCTAGACCCTGGATGTAATGGTCTTGTGGGGGTGGGGTGGCATTCACACAGCCACGCGTCTAAATAAACATTTCTAGTACACAACTGACACGTGCTCTCTGCTATTGTTAGAACAAAAACAAAAATCAAAACCCTGTTTGCCAACCCTGATCAAAAGAGAAATACTCTAAGCATAAACACTTTTATTTGGAATTTGGCACCGTTGTGTTGTAGAAAAGGATAATACATTTTAGGAAAAGCACTAAAATGAGCATATGTTACTATGTATATGCGTAGCCAGTCACTGACTATAAAATGTATTTTTTTTAAAAGAAGAAGAAGAAAGGATTGGGAACAAGCAGAATCAGCCTAGACATGCCTCAGTATGCCCACACCAGTCCAGGTGCTCACTTCGTGCCCATTGAACAAATGGAAATCCCACCCAATACTGTGGGTCTGTCCTAGATAGGACTAACATTGGATACTACTCCATGGTGTGAGCCTTCAGAGTATTTTGAGTAGGGGAACTGATACGCTCAGTGCCGAAGAAAATGCATTCTGCACATGCTGAGAGACACTTTTCTTCATGTATTCTGGGACTCGGACCTGACTTTGAAAAGAAGTTGTAGGGCTGATTATTTCCAGGACAAATGAAGCCCCAGGCAGGTCCATTGTTTCTGCCTTTTGCTTTTGTCTGCCTTAAAGCACACTTGTGTGTGCATCTGAGCCCCTTGTTTCTTGAGAAGCAGGGCCCTTGGGGAAACATTTGGATTGAAGGAAGTGCGCCACAGGCAGCGCTGAAGCTGTTGGAAAAATGGGGATGAAGAAAAATCAGACATTCATACACACAGAGCTGGGATATGAGAAATTTGGTGTGTGGGCATGCTTAGAGTGGGAGAAATGCTAGAGAAATTTGGAGGCTATGAGCCAGAGAACCTAACCTACACTGCCAGGTTCAGTTCAGACCTTTTCTGAGCATAAGCTGCTGCCTCCTTGATCTCTAGCTATAAAGGAAGAAGGTGATTCATCTAAATAGCTCTTAACATAGCACCACAACTCTGAATGGAACTTAACGTAGGAAGGCAGGGAAACAGCAGTAATTTTATTAAGATTTTTCATTATTAATAATAAAAAAAGAAATATAACTGAAATTGCAATGCCCCTGACAAAATGTTCATTTTAAAAAAACTGATATTGTCATTTGGATAATAGCATAACAGCCAAAAAGAAAAGAGGCATCTGGTGGTTAAATTAAATAGAATGTATCAGCCCAAATGTTCTCTTGCTTAGCACTCATTCTCTACCTCAGCAGTGGGTGACCTGGTGTCCCCTAAATGTTTAGGGCTTCAGCTCCCATAATCCCTGGTGATAGGCCATGCTGGCAAAATATCCAGAAGGCACTGGGGTCACCTACCGCTACTCTATTATTTACAGCATTTCTGCTTTCTTGGCACAAAAGAGGTCTTTCTTGTCCCAGTTTTTGGAATTCTCTTCCCAGAGAGCTTCTTTTTTCTTGCTCATTGCTAATTTACTGGGAGAGGATGAATTCTATTCCAAAGCAGATAAAATACAGTATTTTAGCAGCGTATTGCTTGCTGCTGTTGATGTACCTAATCTACTGCTGCTTCCTGTTTCACATTTATTGTCATGTTTCTTTTTTGGGTACTTATATTTATGGCTTACAGCTAATTGTTTTATTTATATATATAAT